CAAAAAGCTGCCCACCTTCCCTGATGAACCATATAATTCGGTTTACGGCGGGTTCGTCACCCATGACATGACTTACCCGGAAAGGGGACATCTGTGGCTTTAGGTTCGAGTTACCGCTGATTGATATCAAATTATCATTCATGATAAAAAACCGAAAAATTACGATAGTTATTCCACAAAAAAGAATCAACTCACGTTTTCTAACGTCATCGTGTCCAGACCATGGCTAAACATCTCCTTGAGTGCATTCACCGCTGCCGTGTTACCAGGTATACGGTAGATGCCTACCGTATCCAGACCATGCGCCTCGACGACACTTACGCAAATTTGCACACACAAAGGTACGAGCTGTAATTGTCGTTAATTCACTCGCATTCTATGGCAACACTTCAAGAAAAACGTAATATGACCGGTTGGGTGGGCTAATGTGGGAACATTTGGGGATAAGACGCACGTTCACCAAACCAATCAATTTATCGATTGATATCCAGGAGGAGGACGCATTTTTACCGGTCCGCAATAGGTTTATCGATTGATATTACCAGGAGGAAGATGATTAGCCACCCATTTACCGATCGATAATAAGTGGAAGATGGTGGAAAAATAACTCACATCATCAGGACCCGATGTTGGGCAGTCGGCTAGGCGAACACCGAGCACGTTTTGAGCTGGTGCCACTGAAGTGGCTCCACCAGTAGCACTGCTGACACTGACACCACTGGATGGACCTCCAGCGCTACTGCTGGCAGCTCCAATAGCACTACCACTGCTTTGCTTGACAGCCTTGGTCTTCTTCCATTTACGGCCCGATTTCGGTGTTGACGGTTCTGAAGCAAATACTGTGATGAAAGAGTTTTAGGGGTGGGGGACACACAAACAAATGGTACCTCCATTCTCGCCCGAACTGCTGTCTTTGCTTGTTCCAGGCTGAGCGCAGTGGACATCGTTCGCCATTGTGCGCTTTGACGACACCGGTGATTGCAGTTGCGACGATTTCGCCTTATACCTGGAAAATGACGGGAATTGGTTCCAATCCCTATCTGGAATCGAACAAAATGGGTACGAATTCCCAATAAGGAAACAAGCTCCCACTCACCTGTGCATAATCAGCTGATTGGTGGCCGAGGCGGTGTGTCCATTGCGTTCGGATGGCGTCGAGGAGGACGAGGCCAGCGAAGCGGCCTGAAAACCCGTCAGTGAATAAGAGTCGAATTGGTCCAATCAAGAGTGGGGGAGAAATACGGGGACATTGAAGAGGGTCACACCGGTGAAGAGAAGAAGAGCGCTAGAGGAAAATACGATGAAAGAACAGGACTAAGGACACGATTAAATGCAGGAAAACAACTTCTGGGCCAGTTGCTAACTCTACTGAAACGAAATCGATGCATAATCGTGTTGGTTAGACGAGCGGCAGGGGAGAGGGAGGTGGTGGTGAGAACGAGCTCGGCTCGCCTGGTGGGTTACACCCTCCAATTGTGCTCCCTGCAATGACACCAACCGATTTTGTATTAATGCATGAGGTGCGCGAGGGACATGGTCTCTACACGGCCGTCGAGGGTTAACAATAGGTCAATGGATAATGATGATGATCGACGACAGCGGCGCCGCCGCGTTTGGATAAATAATCGCCGACGTGCGTGCACACCCCCACAAACACATGCCCAAGTGCATTCGGTTATGAAGGGGCAAATCATATCCCGGAAGCGACAAACTGTCGGATTGTTTTGGGTAGTGAAAAATGACCAAAAGAGGACAACAATATAAAAAGTGGTGAGCATTTACGCACACTTTATATCGCAGCGACAGGGAGGGCGTGGCTGCATCTTTCATTCGAACATGGATTTGGATGTGCTTTTTGTGATAATACCAGTCGGATCGCCCGGTTTATGTTTTTTTTTTTTTATTTTTCTTTTTTTTAATTCTGTCGCCGGGCTCCTTCTGTGACATGGCCCGGCTTCGCCGGGCCATGCGGATTTGCCGCGTGCTAAGTTAAGGATCGTTGACCAACCACACTGTTCAAAGGAATCTTCTGCATCAGCCAAGAACTGAAAAGCAGCGCTTTCCGTCAAGACGCAGAAGCAGCAGCAGCCCCCCCGCATCACAGAAGGAGGAGAGCCGGCCTTAGCCAACGATCCGACTGGTACGTTCATACCCTACAGGGAAATAGTGTGGCCTGTTAGGACAGCCACTGAAGCAGCCTATAATTTACGCAATCTGTCTTCCTAAAGCGTCTTGCTTAGGAATGCACTCCCCCATTTAGCAGTGGAACCCTTCAAATGGGCCTCACTAAAGTTGTTGATGGAAGATAATTGTGGTAAGAGTGATAAAGTCAGTTGCTGCTGTTCATAACATCTCTGTAAACAAACCACATGCATTTGGAATAGAGCTGGCTTACCGGTCGTACACGATGTCGTTACTAATGAGCAGTGAGGAATGAGTTCTGTTGGAATCATTGAGATCGTTATACTTGAGTCATATCGATCGCATTGTTGTTGTGAGCGGTGAAGCGGATTTTCCCATGTTATCCTTGTCACTTTAGCTCCTATCACTTCCGTACCCGCCAATAATATTCCGGTCCCGTTCACTATCATATCACCCTATACGTCGATCTTAGTCCCACTCTTGCTGTAACCTGCGCTACGAATCTGATGACCCTCCCCTTCCGAGGCCACTTACCCTTTCTTATCAACTGTTAACATTTTCTGTCTCCCGCCAATAATGTTCCCGTCCCACACCCTTCATCACCTTACGGATCTGAGGTCCCACTATTGCTGTAACGTGCGCCACGAATTTGATGACCCTCCCCTTCCGAAGCCCCTTATCGGATCTTATCAACTGTTATCACTTTCTGTCACCCGCCAATAATGTTTCCCCCAACCCTATATCACCTCTCGGATCCAAGGACCCACTGCTCCTTGGTGGTCCTTCCCTTCTAATGCCCATTATCAGATCTTATTAGCTGATATCACATCCTGTCACCTACCAATGATGTTTTCGTCCCACTCCCTATTTCACTACTCGGAACACCGTTCCACTGCTGCTGTGGCCCGCACTATGGACTGGGGACCATCCTCTTTGAACGCCTCTTATCGAATCTTATCAACTGATATCACATCCTGTCACCCACCAATGGTGTTCCCGTCACACCCCCCTCCACACATTCCTGAATCAACGTTGCTCTGGGCCAGACTGGACAGGTGGTTATGAATTTCGTAGACCATCACACACAAACACACACAGACACACACTTTGCGGATTATATATAGTAGGATGCTTCCATACTGTCCCCTACTATGTACACATTGTGACCATTGCCCCAATGTAACGCTGAAATCTATCCTTTTGTTCATTCTTTTCTTGGGGTTAGTGCCAAACATCTCCATAACCTTCACACAAAAATTCAGCATCCTGTTAGAGCAGCCTTTAAAGCATCCTACCTCTTAATGCGTTCTCCACCACTGTAGGGTTTTTTTGCTGGAATGTACTCCCGCATTCGGCAGTTGCTGGAATGCACTCCCGCATTCGACAGTAGAGCGCTTCGAATGGTCCTCTCTCGGGTTGTTGATGGAAGATAGTCATGGTCATAATGATAAAGTTAGTTGCTGCTGTTCGGCGAAATGAGTAAACAACCGTCATGCATCTGAACTCCAGCCGCTTTAGCGGCTGTACATGATGCCAAAAATGATAAAGGTTAGGAAGTTGTGCGAACTACTGAGAGCCTGATACCTGGATCATATCAATCGCATTGTGGCAGTAAGCGGTGTTGCGGATTTCCGGATGATGACACTTTGAACTCTTATCAGTTGTTGTCACTTAGTGTCACCCGTCACTGGGTGTCTGCCCCTACCCCTATACCACTTCTTGGGACCATGGTCCCACAGACCCTGCATGCAACCTGGCCCATGAATTTGGTGACCCTCCGCATCTGAAGCCCCTTATCGAATCTTATCATATGTTATTGGATCCTGTCAGCCCCCCCCCCCTCCCCGTCCCTGCTGGTGTAGCATCTCGGAACCAAGGTCCCAACTCACTGCGCCGATGTTACGAATTTGGTGACCCTTCGCGTCCTAGAGCCTTATCGAATCTTATCAGGTTTATCCATCTCCACCCTCCCCCCCCCCCCAGTTATGTCCATCCTTTCCCCTGCAACTTCTTGAAATCACGGTCCCGCAGCTGCTGCAACTCGCGCTACGATTTCGGTCACCCTCCCCTTCTAAGGCCCCTTATCGAATCTTATCAGGTGTTATCACCTCCTGTCACCCACCAAAAGTGTTCCCGTCCTGCCATGTATATCACTTCTTGAAATCACGGTCCCGCAGCTGCTGCAACTCGCGCAACGATTTCGGTCACCCACCCCTTTTAAGGCCCCTTAAATCGAATCTTTCAGGTGTTGTCACCTCCTGTCACTCACCAAAAGTGTGCCCGTCCTGCCGTGTATATCACTTCTTGAATCACGGTCCCGCAGCTGCTGCAACTCGCGCAACGATTTCGGTCACCCTCCCCTTTTAAGGCCCCTTATCGAATCTTATCAAGTGTTATCACCTCCTGTCACCCACCAAAAGTGTTCCCGTCCTGCCATGTATATCACTTCTTGAAATCACGGTCCCGCAGCTGCTGCAACTTGCGCTACGATTTCGGTCACCCCCCTTCTAAGGCCCCTTATCGAATCTTATCAGGTGTTATCACCTCCTGTCACCCACCAAAAGTGTTCCCGTCCTGCCGTGTATATCACTTCTTGAAATCACGGTCCCGCAGCTGCTGCAACTTGCGCTACGATTTCGGTCACCCTCCCTTTTAAGGCCCCTTATCGAATCTTATCAAGTGTTATCACCTCCTGTCACCCACCAAAAGTGTTCCCGTCCTGCCATGTATATCACTTCTTGAAATCACGGTCCCGCAGCTGCTGCAACTTGCGCTACGATTTCGGTCACCCTCCCCTTTAAGGCCCCTTATCGAATCTTATCAGGTGTTGTCACCTCCTGTCACCACCAAAAGTGTGCCCGTCCTGCCGTGTATATCACTTCTTGAAATCACGGTCCCGCAGCTGCTGCAACTTGCGCTACGATTTCGGTCACCCTCCCCTTTTAAGGCCCCTTATCGAATCTTATCAAGTGTTATCACCTCCTGTCACCCACCAAAAGTGTTCCCGTCCTGCCGTGTATATCACTTCTTGGAATCACGGTCCCGCAGCTGCTGCAACTCGCGCAACGATTTCGGTCACCCTCCCCTTTTAAGGCCCCTTATCGAATCTTATCAGTGTTATCACCTCCTGTCACCCACCAAAAGTGTTCCCGTCCTGCCATGTATATCATATCTCGGAACTGTCATCCTATCTTTTCTGTGACGCTCGCTATGAATTTCGTGACAGACAGACGGACGCACACACACACACACACACACACACTGACAGACATACTTAGTGAATTATATATAGTAGGGGAATGTTTGAGGAAGGCAAAGTCCCGCTGCGTGCTGATAAAGACATGATTACGGTTGTTTTAATGCGGTAATGCGCTTACTAACTATAAGAGCGCAGTGCCCCTAACTGTTCAAATTAAACACAAAGTCACGCCTCTTCCTTCCCTGGGGTATGGAATGTGCTGTTTTGTCCGCTGTGGATGCTGTGGCGTCAGATGTGGTGGGTTTGACACAACGCCAGCTTATTTATCACTGATCGGAGCAGCTTTAGAGTTCAGTGAGTGGGGGGGGGCGTGCCAAACCGACTCAGCGCTGACACGCTCCGACTGATTTCGGTGGCAACAACTGTAGTTTCATTACGACACCTCCTTTCCCAAACATAGATTCAGTTGATTCTGACTGATCAATATTTTCGGCAACTGTAGGTGCAGCAGTGATCCAAACCCCTCTATACAATATAAGACCTCGAGTAGGGAACAAAACTACCTGGAGCCAAGAGCCCCCAAACAGAGATGTAGTAAGAGGAAATGATACAAGGCATGAACTGCCGGGCTAAATCTGGCACTCGAAGCACGTCATGCCGCCGACCCTGATCAAACAACTTTTTGTCGACGATCCTGGTGGGAGATTCAGCCGGCCGACGTGGTGACGTTAAGCCGAAATGCAAATCAACTTTGAATGATTGC